TTTATATTGACCATTAGAACGAACTTACTCCGGAAGTCATGTGATGCACTACAACCATCTTTCTATATATTATTGTAACGGTTGCGCCACATATCATGTAATGTTATACTGAAGATCTTTATATTCATATTTCTATTTGTGTATTTCATGCATTACTCATTTGATGTAAATATTTATTTAGAATTAGTAATTAATTAGTAAGCATATTATTGGAGAGTAGAATAGCACAAATCACATTATTTGTACTGCTCCAAGAGGTATAAATACACTTGGTTTTAGACCAAGTTAAGAATAATAACAATCTTGATAAGAATAACATAATAATAATTCCTAACACTCTAAATAAATATATAACCTTACATAATAGTCTTTGACTGTAATTAACTAATAAACCCAATGTGATTGATTCTCAGCCCTTCTAATGATTAATGGTCTGTCAACCTTTAATCATTAGTTGGGAACCCTTTTAATTATTGAGATACATCTCAAGGAGATGCCTTTGGGATATAGTTAGTTAAATAACCTAGGGATCTTTTATCCAGGTAAGTAGGCCATAAGATAAAAGAAATTTTGACTACAAGTCAGCAAGTAGGCTGTGTGTTGAATGTAAATTAACCTATTAAATAGGAAACTTGGATTGCACACTTGCAATAAATATCCAAATGGGATACAAGTTTAAAACCAATTGGTTAGAGAAATGGACTGATAATATGTACCAAAAATTGTAAGTTTCACTTGTTTATATTTGCTTTACTTTTGACTTCTTTTACCCTTGTTTGTCATGATAGATTTATTAATCTTTTGGTTTATAGCATAACATGCTTTCAAATGCCAAAAAATGTATTGAATGATACAAATGCCAGTGAATATCAATACAGAAGCTGGTTTGTTAATTTATTGATGGAGGAATTGTTTTTAGATCTGGTCAAACTTAAGTTGAATACTTGATTGAATTTTTGTTTTATAAGGTTTACCACTTCATACCTTAATATGAATATTGTTATATATAGTTTATTTTAATAGTGGAGAAATTGATAATGAACAAAGAAAAATGCAAAGAGAGTTGACAGCACCACAAAAAGATTGTTCTGGAGGGTGGTATCATGATGGAATATTGACAATATATATACAGTCAAGCCTCATTTCAACAAATCTTGTTTCAATGAATTTTTGTTTCAACGAAGTTTGGTCTGGTCCCCCTTTTTTTATTAATTAAAAATTTTTGTTTCAACAAATTTTATATATATATACAGTGTGATTCAAAAAAAATGGTGGTCACAAAAATATTATGATTACATAACATAATTAAATAAAAATATATTCATTTGAAAGCTGATATTCTATTTTATTAAATAATAAGGAATTAATAAGAAATTCTGTCACCATTTTTTTTTAAAACTAATTCATATCTTCTTTTCATAGACATAATAATATTTTTAACCATCTCCTGGGGAATTTTCTCCCATTCTTCTACCATAAATCACTTCAATTCATCAACATTTCTAGGCATCCTTTTTTCAACATTATTCTTCATAATGTACCACATATTCTCTATTGGATTGAGGTCAGGACTGTTGGATGGCCAGTTAATCGTATTAATCTTATTTTCAGCAATGAAATCTTTGCAACACGTGCTTTGGATCATTGTCCTGTTGCAAACACCAGCTTCTACCATGCAACCTTCACACAGCAGGCAAAAGCTGAGTCTGCAATATGTTGATGTAATAAAGCCCATCCATAATATCAGTAAAACAAAATAATGGCATTTTACCTTTTAATGAAATCCATTACTTTTTGCCATGATTTCAGCAATCTGCAAACTGGTCTTTGTCCATCTTTGTGCCATCTACGAATTTTGTTACAAAAAATATCAAATGCTGTCTCATCTGTAAAGATTGTATGGCTCCAATCATCATTCAAATGAGCTTGTGCCCATGCTATTCAGGCTTCAAAGTGATGAGTGGTTAGCATTGGAGTTCCAATGGGCACAGAACTTCTGTAACCTTTTTTTTTATGTGTTGCCAAACAGTAGGTTGTGAAATAGACACATTATGTGTTACTTGGAGTTTAATTGCAAGTTTGTGTGTCGAAATAGCAGTATTATGACAAACAACTTGCCTGATGGAATGTGACAGATTTTGTGTAACCTTTGATGGATGACCATTCCCACCTTTATGTTCAATAGAACCAGTTTCTTTTAGTTTTTTTAAGTTGTTCTTGAGGGATGTTTGTTTTTCATATATTTCTTTTGGTGAATGGATACCATTCATCCAAAAATGAAAAATAGTTTTACGTTGTGCTTCTAATTTTCATTAACCATTTTTTACAAAGCTTAAAAGTTAAAAGGTAAAGAAAAGACAATGTAATAACATACACGAATATTGATTATCATGTAAACAATCATATCCAATCATATTTATCATATAAGTAAACGGTAAATTTGCTATTCAGGCTTCAAAGTGATGAGTGGTTAGCATTGGAGTTCCAATGGGCACAGAACTTCTGTAACCTTTTTTTTTATGTGTTGCCAAACAGTAGGTTGTGAAATAGACACATTATGTGTTACTTGGAGTTTAATTGCAAGTTTGTGTGTCGAAATAGCAGTATTATGACAAACAACTTGCCTGATGGAATGTGACAGATTTTGTGTAACCTTTGATGGATGACCATTCCCACCTTTATGTTCAATAGAACCAGTTTCTTTTAGTTTTTTTAAGTTGTTCTTGAGGGATGTTTGTTTTTCATATATTTCTTTTGGTGAATGGATACCATTCATCCAAAAATGAAAAATAGTTTTACGTTGTGCTTCTAATTTGCATTAACCATTTTTTACAAAGCTTAAAAGTTAAAAGGTAAAGAAAAGACAATGTAATAACATACACGAATATTGATTATCATGTAAACAATCATATCCAATCATATTTATCATATAAGTAAACGGTAAATTTTTTTAACAGGTTCAAAATAAGCAACCACCATTTTTTTTGAATCACACTGTTTATATTGTGTTACAACGAATTTTTTTGGTGGGATTTTTGTAGCATGGTGGACATTCCTTTTATATTATTTATATTATGTCAATCATTTTTCAATTGTTTTAGAATAGACTATGGGTTACACTTATGAGGCAGGTGCAAGTACACTAAATAACAACCTTTCAAATTTTACAAGTATACTCTTTTCACTTCAACATTCCCTGATCCACCCTGATTCATTCGAAGTAACGATTTTTATTTCTTGATTGCAAGTCATTACTAAAATGCCTGTTGGTTTTTGTCCATTTGCAAAATATAAAAAGTTGACTCTAAGTGGTGAAATATTTCAGAACAAGGATAAGAAAAAGCTGAACTAGTGGGTTATGAATTAAATATAGGTGAAAGAATAGATAGATATAAAAGAAAACCTGAAGATGTAACATATAAAATGAGAAAACCAATTGAAATGGAAGCAAATATTACTAGACCATCAAGTCAACATATTAAAGGTGATTAAATATTAATTTAATGTTAATCAAATTAATTTTATTATTTTGTTTTTTAATTAAATAAATTAATTTATTATTGTTTTTTGTTTTTTTAATAATTAAATGATTAATTTTTAGATGGTATACAATTTTCTGATTTTTTTAATGATCAAATAAATAAAAATGATCAAAGAAAGAGATCCTTTGTTAAAAGGCTTTTTTGATATGCTAAGTATATCCCTTCTTCAAAAAATTCCTCTACAGAAATAAGTCTAAAAAGAAAAGTAATGATTCTCTGTTACCAATTATCTGCCCAGTTTTGATTCCTGCTTTGATTACAAAAATTGTGAAATAGCAGATAATTGGTAACAGAGAATCATTACTTTTCTTTTTAGACTTATTTCTGTAGAG